CTGTCCAGTTCCTTGTGATGTTTGTTACTACACAAACTTAAGTTTTAAGTAAAATTGTTAATTTTAGTGAGTTAGTTGCTGTCCAGTTCCTTGTGTGATGTTTGTTTCTACACAAACTTAAGTTTTAAGTAAAATTGTTAATTTTAGTGAGTTAGTTGCTGTCCAGTTCCTTGTGTGATGTTTGTTTCTACACAAACTTAAGTTTTAAGTAAAATTGTTAATTTTAGTGAGTTAGTTGCTATCCAGTTCCTTGTGTGATGTTTGTTACTACACAAACTTACGTTTTATGTAAAATTGGTAATTTTAGTGAGTTAGTTGCTATCCAGCTCCTCGTGTGATGTTTGTTACTACACAAACTTAAGTTTTAAGTAAAATTGTTAATTTTAGTGAGTTAGTTGCTGTCCAGCTCCTCGTGATGTTTGTTACTACACAAACGTAAGATTTATATAAAATTGGTGATTTTAGTCGATTAGCATCTGAGTTGTATATTTTTGTTGTTTTACCTATAATCGTTTTCGAATTTAACCAATGGAATACAAGTAATGTCCTGAGTTTTCTTGGTTTCAGGTAAAACGCTTAATTTAATTTTTTTTATTGATATGGTAGAAGATTTTTCTATGGTTTTAGACTACGGTTTCTTTAGTCTTAGCCACATCTGTCTTATTTAGCGAAATTTCTACGTAAATGTTTTTAATGTCATTAACGATTTTCTTAGGGGGCTTGTGTGCTGGGTATCAACTCCCCCCCTGTAACGATAAAGAATATAGAGTGTGCTATTATTGACAATGCTTTTGAACAAGGATGGATCACCCCTCGTTTACCAGCCTTTCGTACAGGAAAGAAAATTGCAATTATAGGAAGTGGACCATCTGGACTCGCAGCTGCTGCTCAACTAAACAAGGTAATTAACTAGAAGCGGTGAATAAGTAAAGCAAGTGTTAAGTTTCTATCAGAAAGCTGTATTTTATCAATAAGTAATGAAACATTTTATCACGAGAAGATAAACGCTATTTCAAAGGTATATTCTATTCAGGAGTATAAGCACATTTAGTCACAGGCAAGGGGGCGTTTCTTCAATGGCAAAGTAACATTTTAATCAAGGGCAAAGAAAATGGAAAACTGTAGGTGTGATTGTTTAATGAAATAGACTTGTACTGGTTGCAGTTTTATAAATAGACTATATCAAGGTTTTTTAGTTCACTAACTGACTGATGTTTTGATGTGTACACATACAGCTTATAAGTTGTTTGTTTTAGATCAAAGCTACATTGGGCTATCTGCTATGTCCACCGCGGGGAATCGAACCTCGCACACCTTACAAGTTGTTTGTTTTACAGCAAAGCTACATTTGGCTATCTGCTATGTCCACCGCGGGGAATCGAACCTCGCACACCTTACAAGTTGTTTGTTTTACAGCAAAGCTACATTTGGCTATCTGCTGTGTCCATCGCGGAGAATCAAACCTCGTACACCTTACAAGTTGTTTGTTTCACGATAAAAAGTCATTGAAGTCGTTTTGTTTGTGACGTAACCAATAATATTACACTTTAAGTTTTTAACAATCTTATGAAAATGTTAACCAAATGTTTTTTAATTGTTTGGATTTAGTCAATATTTGATTCCTCTGATATTTCAACTATTTCAGGCTGGTCACACAGTGACTGTTTATGAAAGAAATGATCGAATTGGTGGACTCTTACGATATGGTATACCTACCATGAAGCTAAGCAAAGAGGTACTCGTCTTTATGAATGTTAATAAGTACTTTATGTATCTAGCCTTTCTTATGATCTAATTTTTGGTAATTGTAATAGTATTAGTCAACAGATGGCACTACCAATAGTCTGCCAAAATATTTTACATCTCTTTACTTGAGTTTAACGTTGTGGTATTATCAATAATGACAAAAAAGGAATAATCTTTATGCCAACTAAAACTGTTATCTTTATATTTGAGCATTTTTCACTGTATCTTCATCATCGTCTTCTGTAAATAATGTTCACATGGTTTTTGTTATTTTAGAAGATCTTCGGATCTTAGATTGTATTGTTGATTATATCATGAATAAAACTAGCATTTCAAAGGTTAATATTTTCCGAAGTATTCAATCATTATACGATAATGACATTAGGTGGTTCAACGTAGAGTAGATTTACTGGCTGAAGAGGGCGTTACGTTTACCACAAAAGTGGATGTAGGTAAAGACATCCAAGCAAGCGATCTCCTCGACAAAAACGATGCTGTACTTCTCACTGTTGGAGCTACGTGGCCTCGAGACCTTCCAATTCCAGGTAACGATGCGTGTTTTTACATCTTCTTAAGAGACAAAATATTGTGTTTAAAACACTTTAGCTACAGAGTTTTCAAGTTATCTGTGAGGCTAAAGATCGGGAATATTCTATTGTACACTGACATTTCAGGTGTGGTGCAAAACTAAGAAAGTTCACAAAATCACCACTGTCACGCATTGAAGCTTAGTTGTAAATATTAGGTAATAGTCGAGCTTAGGGAATAGAAACCAAAGAGACTTGAGTGTAAAATCTGTTTTAATTTCAAATTTACCTTCGTATCAAAGCTTCTTTTGTATCTTTTGATAAATAATGACTATAAAAATTGGTTTTCCATGCATACTTACTTTAAATCTTTTGATAACCAAATAACGTTCATCTTCCCTTTTAATAACGAACAGAACCTTTAGTTATAATTTGTTTTTCGTTCATCTTCCCTTTTAATAACGAACAGAACCTTTAATTATAATTTGTTTTTCGTTCATCTTCCCTTTTAATAACGAACAGAACGTTTGATTAAAATTTCTTTCGTATTGTAAATCTAAAACGTTTATATAACAAATTTATATAACAAATTTAGCTCTTTATTTTCCTGAAAGAAATATAATAGCTAAATATCTAAAATGATAACTCTTTCTCATGAAACATTTTCCTAAATTTAGGACGCCACCTAGAGGGAATACACTATGCTATGAGTTTTCTGGAGAGTTGGCAAAAGAATCAATATGGCAGGGACATTGAACAAACTGCTCTTTCTGCACTAGGTAAAGATGTCATTGTTATTGGTGGTGGTGACACAGGAGTGGACTGTATTGGCACTGCACTTCGCCAGGTTTGTCTTTATTCCTTCTTCTGTCTATTATGTGAGAGTGTAATATTTACTGACATACTGATTAGGTGAAAGATCTGTGCATTAGTTGGTTTCGGGATAAATCAAATAAAAAGTTATTTATTGAGCATTTACTTTCAATACCAATGTAATATTTAATTCTCCTGATTTTTTATCCACAAATAAGATATTAAGTACTGAATAGATTATAAATTTTATATTGTTATTAATGGACAATGAGGCTTAAAATTAGTCACCAAATTAATATTCATCTTAATCTGGTAACAGTGGTGTAGCAAGAGGGGGGCAGTCGCCCCCGGGCGCAGGTGTGAAGGGGCGCAAAATTTCCTCTGGCCTATAATGCCTATTAATTTATGATTATGCCCTCCTCTAGGATATAGCGCAACTGCCCCACGTTAAGTAAATACGACACAGTGTTACGTTATTTGTGTGTATTCTTTTTTAACTTTTAAAAGCCGCCCACTGAAGTACAGTGAGACCGAATTGACGTACAGAAGTAAATTACACTATTCCATCATTCATCTGTAGATCAAATACAAGTCTTAGTGTATGTTCAACAAAAAGAAAATACGAGATTGATGTAATATATTAATTGGTGTGCAAGATTGGCAATATATGCAACAGGCAAAGCCTAGATCTAGATCTAGTAAACATTATAGGCCTAATGT